GTTGTTTGTTAACCCTACCTGTTGTTGTTTGTTAACCCTAGCTGTTGTTGTTGTTTACAAACCCTACCTGTTGTTGTTTATAAACCCTGCCTGTTGTTGTTGTTGTTTGTTAACCCTACCTGTTGTTGTTTGTTAACCCTAGCTGTTGTTGTTGTTTACAAACCCTACCTGTTGTTGTTTATAAACCCTGCCTGTTGTTGTTGTTGTTTGTTAACCCTGCCTGTTGTTGTTGTTGTTTATAAACCCTACCTGTTGTTGTTTGTTAACCCTGCCTGTTGTTGTTTATAAACCCTGCCTGTTGTTGTTGTTGTTTGTTAACCCTGCCTGTTGTTGTTGTTGTTTATAAACCCTACCTGTTGTTGTTTGTTAACCCTACCTGTTGTTGTTGTTTATAAACCCTACCTGTTGTTGTTGTTGTTTGTTAACCCTGCCTGTTGTTGTTGTTTATAAACCCTGACTGTTGTTGTTGTTGTTTATAAACCCTGACTGTTGTTGTTGTTGTTTGTTGACCCTGCCTGTTGTTGTTTATAAACCCTACCTGTTGTTGTTGTTTGTTAACCCTACCTGTTGTTGTTGTTGTTTATAAACCCTACCTGTTGTTGTTGTTGTTTGTTAACCCTACCTGTTGTTGTTGTTGTTTATAAACCCTACCTGTTGTTGTTGTTGTTTGTTAACCCTACCTGTTGTTGTTGTTTATAAACCCTGACTGTTGTTGTTGTTGTTTATAAACCCTAACTGTTGTTGTTGTTTGTTAACCCTGCCTGTTGTTGTTGATTATAAACCCTGACTGTTGTTGTTGTTGTTGTTTATAAACCCTGCCTGTTGTTGTTTATAAACCCTGCCTGTTGTTGTTGTTGTTTGTTAACCCTGCCTGTTGCTGTTGTTTATAAACCCTGACTGTTTTTGTTGTTGTTTATAAATCCTGACTGTTGTTGTTGTTGTTTATAAACCCTAGCTGTTGTTGTTGTTTGTTAACCCTGCCTGTTGCTGTTGTTTATAAACCCTGACTGTTGTTGTTGTTGTTTATAAATCCTGACTGTTGTTGTTGTTGTTTATAAACCCTAGCTGTTGTTGTTGTTTGTTAACCCTGCCTGTTGTTGTTGTTTATAAACCCTGCCTGTTGTTGTTGTTGTTGTTGTTTATAAACCCTAACTGTTGTTGTTGTTTGTTAACCCTGCCTGTTGTTGTTGTTTATAAACCCTGACTGTTGTTGTTGTTGTTTATAAACCCTGACTGTTGTTGTTTATAAACCCTACCTGTTGTTGTTGTTTATAAACCCTGCCTGTTGTTGTTGTTGTTGTTTATAAACCCTAACTGTTGTTGTTGTTTGTTAACCCTGCCTGTTGTTGTTGTTTATAAACCCTGACTGTTGTTGTTATTTTTTATAAACCCTGACTGTTGTTGTTTATAAACCCTACCTGTTGTTGTTGTTGTTGTTTGTTAACCCTGCCTGTTGTTGTTGTTTATAAACCCTGACTGTTGTTGTTGTTGTTTATAAACCC